GACGGGAGCGCCGCCACGCCTCCCAAGCAGCGCACTATCCAGTGCGCCACCGGGCCGGCCCCTCTAGATGCATTTTAATATCAAAAAAATCTGCATTTAGTTCAGCTCAAATAGCATGCTTGATATACTCAACATGGCATTAACATTTATTCCAAAATAATCAACTTTCCCTGTCACTTCGACTCTGACTTTCTTTTGGAATTGGGGAAGAGAGAGGTATTGGGGGTTTTCAGTAGGACAAACACTCATGGGATCAAGTCATTGTAATCCTGGTGCCAAAATTATACGAAACAAAAACAGCCACAAAGAAAATGTGAATGTTCCAATATTAGTTACTGATGTTATCAGCAGTTGAAAACTTGGAACACTGGACCCCATAAAATAAATTCTAGACTTGATGTTAATTTTCTTTTAAGAACCCGCACGTTTGTATTCTTTCGAGGCTGTGCTGTCCATTTACTTTCACCTCACGTCACCGGAATTTGTTGGTTCCATCTCTATGGAAACCATTCAGAAGGACAATAAAGTGAAGTCTACCACCCACGTGTGCACAGCTCTCCCTATCAGTGCTGGTGGGGTACAGTATCACTCTCTAGTTTAGATCAGCTTTTGGAGAATGGAAAGAAACAATATTTAAAATGTGCCCCAAAACAGAGACTGAAGAAAAGCACAGAACAATATTGTCTCCCTCTCAAAACACCGGCTGCTCCTAAAGTAAATTAACACGTCCGTTCACAGCCAGGAAGCAATATGGTGACTATTCTGTACGGCCACCAAGAGCAAAGGCTGCTGCTGGCCGGTATGAGATGGCTGGAATGCTGCAGCCCATTCATGTACTTTTGAGGCTTTTTCTTTTAAAGAGGGAAGAGAGACAGGCCATTTGCTTTTGTAATCAACCTTGGAGTTTACCATTCGAACTTTTCCTAATATCACCGTGAAAAAGAAGCCCTCTGCAATGCAAACGCATTCCCACACACACCAAATGCAGGAAAACTAGTTTTTTGATGGCTCCACTTTCCTGTTCTTTTATTAATAAGGAAGTGGAACATATTGAAACTAAAATATACATACAGGAATGTCAATGCAGGAGTGATCGTGCCGAGAGATCTGGCTCACACAATGATGTGACACAAGTGACTGCACCTAGGACAAACGTTCTCATCCACCACGACTACATCCGCACTTATGGAAGAGAAGCCAAAAGATGCACAGTGCTGATTCAATTTTTAGGATTCATTGACTTGGAGCATACACTTGAGCATTTCAAAAGCTCCCGTTGAGACAATTCCGTTATTTCGCATTTAGGCAAGCCCGCCTTCCCTTTACTGAAGTTATTTTATGTATGCTAAACTGAAAAACAATCTCTGCATCTTGCAATAAGTGTCTTTGAATTACAGAGGTGACTACTTACTCTGTTCTCACATCATAATGGTCCAACTAGAAATTAAAGTTACCTCTTACAATTAAAAAAAAAAATCACCTAGAAACGGAACTATCATCAGCACCCCCTTGTCTGGTTTGTTTCTATTGGAAAGGATAAGTGTACACCTCTTCTCAAATGAGACTTCTTCCTTTTGAGACTAAGGCATCATTTGAAATAAAGTTCCAATTCAAAAATGATACATAAAATGGCACCAATTCGAAAAGGAGGAAAGAACAGCCAGGAATCCCCACCTTTCCTCCTTCCTAGTGAGACATTATTTCTCAACAGACAGGAGAAGCAGATGCTCAGCTCTGTCCTCAGATACTTTTGGAGCCACGTCCTCTGCCTGTCAAGAGATGTCCAAGGTGCTTTCCTTTTTAGCACTGGAATATAAACTTCTATTCGGTTCTTTATGTCATACAGCAAACAGCAACGGAAAACAACAAAGCAGCAGGCGAGTGGACTAGCGGTTTTTCCTCAAGCACAGGAGAAGCGCTTTCAGTTTTGTTCAGTCAGTGAGGGCTGGAGTGGGCAGGGGATAGACATGGAGGAGCGCGCACACACGCACACGCACGCGCAAGCATGCGCGCATGCACAAACACGCACAGACACGCACGCACACGCACATGCACAGACACACGCGCACACACACACGCGCATGCACACACACGTTTTCAGAAGCGTGAGAATGACTCATCTGCTCGGTGAGACAAGACTCGGACAAGTAACGGAGCAGGCACAGCTCAGGCCCTTCTCTTTTCTAGAAGAGACTCCACAGAATACACACGTTCTGCAATCTCTACAAAGTGCTGGTAATAAAGCTGATATTATGATCTCTATTTATCTGACACTGTGGGTTGCGAACCCAGAATATGGGGGTGAAAGGGGACATGATTATCTGTTACCCTTAAAATCCTGATAGAAGGCCGGCCCGTGGCTCACTCGGGAGAGTGCGGTGCTGATAACACCAAGGCCACGGGTTCGGATCCCTATATAGGGATGGCCGGTTTGCTCACTGGCTGAGCGTGGTGCTGACAACACCAAGCCAAGGGTTGAGATCCCCTTACCGGTCATCTTAAAAAAAAAAAAAAAAAAAAAAAAAATCCTGATAGAAGACAATGGACGGAGACTCCCTCCCAGGCCCCAACACTGACTCACTGCATAAGCGCTGACATGACCTCAAGTCCCAGGGCCTCCAAAAAGGAATAAAGCCCTGGATATGCCCCCCCTGCAACTTTGACATCTTGCTCAAGGACAGCACAAAAAATAAGCTGGAGAGAGGAAGAGATTACCAGCATCCACAATTTAGAGTTCTAGAAGATTCTATAGGAATGAAAATGGGAAGAAGCTTCTACCTCCTCAACACTTGAGTGAGGACATTTGCCCCGCCAGAGACACTGGGTAGGCTCCCGAAGGTTAGAGACGGCACGGGGGTGGGGTGGGGTGTTACTGTGTAGGTTCTGAGACCCCACGAGGAAAGGTGGAGAATGGGCAGAATCATGCAAATCACAGAACTGCTGTTCTTTATCAAGAGATACATTACCATCCCGCGTTCTCCAGTAAGTTCCGCAAAATGGTGGGCGGCACTAAGCAGTTGTAATAGCCCATGCCAATATATGACCTCCAGATCTGGTTTTTGCTTGAGATGGCATGCAGAGTTGTAAGGATTTCATTTTCACCTGATAGTGGAAAGACAGAAATGTTACAGAGAGAAAATGTCTCAGAAGAGAGCTGTAATTACAGTTTAAAAAAATGAATATTTATGTGAAAAGAACAGCTATATGGAAAATACAAGAATCATCGGTCCAACCAACACGAAGTACTATATGCAGAAATCTTAAAAAAAAAAAAAAAAAAAAAAAACCAGAACAGGACTCAATTTCTCCTCAAGGTTGGCTTCTCATAACTTTTTTTTTTTTTTTTTAAAAAGATGACCGGTAAGGGGATCTCAACCCTTGACTTGGTGTTGTCAGCACCATGCTCAGCCAATGAGCGAATCGGCCATCCATATATAGGATCCGAACCCGTGGCCTCGGTGTTATCAGCACCACACTCTCCCAAGTGAGCCACTGGCCGGCCCAAAATTGCCCAATTTTAACACTTGTCTTATTCCAGGTTTCTTCTGTTCCCTTTACATTTCTGTTGTATTTACTCTACATAAAAATTTTGTCTTACTTTCAGCAAAATATTAAATTTCCACTTTTTTTTTTTTTTTCTTATAAAGATGACCGGTAAAGGGATCTTAACCCTTGGCTTGGTGTTGTCAGCACCACGCTCTCCCAGGTGAGCTAACTGGCCATCCCTATATGGGATCCGAACCCGTGGCCTTGGTGTTATCAGCACCACACTCTCCCAAGTGAGCCATGGGCTGGCCCTGAATTTCCCCTTTTAAATTGCCTTATGCTCTCTGGAAGCAGGCAAGGTTTCAGTATTAAATAACACATAATCCACATTTTCTCTAAAATTGTCCTACTGAGTCAAACGTTTTTCCTTTGTGTCACTAAAAAGGGCTACTTATGGGCCGGCCTGTGGCTCACTCGGTAGAGTGCGGTGCTGATAACACCAAGGCCACGGGTTCGGATCCCATATAGGGATGGCTGGTTCGCTCACTGGGTGAGCGTGGTGCTGACAACACCAAGTCGAGGGTTAAGATCCCCTTACCGGCCATCTTTTAAAAAAAAAAAAAAAAAGGGCTACTTATAAAAGGCCCATCCCCCAACAATATAAAATATCAGTTGTAATAAAAGACCCACATGCCATTTTAACCAGCATTCCCATTAAGGCACTTAGGTAATTAAGTAAGAATTACAAAAGTTCTTAGATGCAGGTAAGACCCCATATTGGGGATCATTCATATAATAACATCAAAATAATAATAGCACCGACATTTATTGAGCACTTACTCTGCCAGGAACTGTACCAAATAGTTTCTGTGCAGCCTAGGAAACTGAGGCTTGAAGAGGCTCACTTGCCTGAGGTCACATGGCTTTATGTTAAAGGATTACTAATCCAGTCTCTCTAATTCCACATTCCAGACTTTAACCCATAGAGCAAGGTTGAGACCTGCTACATAAATAGCACTTATGGGCCGGCCCGTGGCTCACTCGGTAGAGTGCGGTGCTAATAACACCAAGGCCCCGGGTTCGGATCCCACATAGGGATGGCCAGTTCGCTCACTGGCTGAGCGTGGTGCTGACAACACCAAGTCAAGGGTTAAGATCCCCTTACCGGTCATCTTTTAAAAAAAATAATAATAATAAAAATAAATAGCACTTATACTGAAGGGTACTTTTTAGTTACAAATGACATTATGCGGTTATTTCTGTGTCCCTCTGCATATAGACAGATCATGCTACTCAACTTTAAACTGCAATTGAACTACTTAGGCAAATGTCTGGCTCCTTTAAGATCTTCTTAAGGAATCAGTCACTTAAACCCTGGAATTGATTGATTTTATTGTTACTATGTCAGAGAAAAATCTAGGTACTGCAAAATCTAAGACAGCCAGCTGGCTAGGAAGATGGTTCACATTGTTTTAACCCTACCGAACTCTATCTGGATATTACTCTCATTAATTATTCTTTATCTTTAATGAAACCATGTTCACCCTCCGCCCAGCTCTGACACACACATACCCCTCTCCCACTCCGCACACTTTCAAAGGAAATAAATTCACAAGTGATGTGTCACTTGGCCAGAGCAGATTACATAAAGAGAGGACAGTTCTGTAAGTATCAGTTTTATGAGTAAATATAATCTAACTGCCTGTGGAAGATGATCTTGTCTTCTTCCGAAGAAAGTCTGGGAAATAAGTGAAAGTACAATAAATCAACAACTAAGGAGATAGGCAAGGACAGCAAGCTTAAGAAAAACCATGCAAGATTTTTCCCAAGTAAATAAATAATAAATAAATATGCACACAAATATATAATAAATAATAAGATTATTTTCCCAAAATTTTATTTGAAAAAACTAATCTTCTTAGGGGCAGTGTGATTCAGAAGCCCAGTAGGAGGGAGATTAATTAGCAGTGCCTGGCAGGCAGGGCCAGCTTCAATTAAGATCCTGTGCAAGAGCGACAGGTTCACTGCTACACATTATGCCGTGAGAACAAAAGGTCCAGCTCTCCAATGAGAACAGTCTGTGAAGGGCTTTGTCAGATCAAGAGTTTAGTCTTTGCAAGTCACAGAGTATGTTCAAGCTAGAGAATAATATGATTCTTTCCACATTATAGAAAGATAATTCTATTAATGGTGGAGAGGTCACAGAAGGGAGACCCTGGACATAGGGAGATATGGTAAGAGGCCAGCACAACAGTCCAGCAGGGAGATGGGAAAGGGGAGTGTTCTGGGTTGAATTGTGTTCCCCAAAATGGCATGTTGAAATCCTAACCCTTGGTACCTGTAAATGTAATGTTATTTGGAAATAGGATCTTTCCAAAGATAAAGTTAAAATGAGATCAAACTGGCTTAGGGTCAGCTCTTATCCAATGATTGGTGTCCTTATAGGAAGAGGGGAATTTGGACACAGAGACAAGCACAAGGAGAATGCCATGTGATGATGGAAGCAGAGACTGGAGAGATGCATCTACAAGGTTACTTCAAAAAAATCACAGAAAGATCTGTTTTACCTTTTAATTCTTTTTTTGGCAGCTGGCCAGCATGGGGATCCAAACCCTTGGTGTTGGCATTACAAAACTGTGCTCTAACCAGCTGAGCCAGTCAGCCAGCCCATTTCCATGAAGTTTTTGAAGTACCCTTGTACAAGCCAAGGAATGCCAAGGATGGACAGCAACCACCAATAGCCAGGAGAAAGGCATGGAACAAATTCTCCTTCAGAGCCTCCAAAAAGGAACCAACCCTTCCAATACCTTGATTCTGGACTTCTAGCCTACAGAACTCGGAGACAATACGTTACTGTTGTTTTAAGACACCCGGTTTGTGGTAATAGATCATGACAGCCCTAGCAAATTAATAAAGGGAGCTGTATCAGCAGTTTTCAGGAGAGGCTGTGCTACCTTTGGGCCCTGCTGGCCAGTTAAACCATGCTCACAAGCTCAGGTGAACTCCAGCACTGGGCCAGACATTTTCCCATACGTTGTTTAAATCCTACTACTGAAAATAATCAACCCAGATAGTGCATACCAGTGTCTTTACTCAACAACCTTCTTGTCTACTGGCACAAGAGAGCAGGCACTACATTTCTGGAATGTGCTGAAAGTCTGTGCAGAGAGGAGCAGTAGCTTCCCCACAGCTCCTCAATGTGACCCGACCAGATGTCAGAGCCAATTATCCAGCCCAGCGGTCTGCGCAGGGCATGGCTCGCTCATGCTCATAGCCTGAGGTGGGAAAGGAAAGGCTGGTCTTGCTGCTGCTCTGCCACTGGCTGGAGCAACTCAATGGCTCGTTTCTAACTGGGTCCACACCTGGGGAAAAATAATATAAATGGTAGATGAGATAATTAGAAATAGCTAAGTAGAAATTGGTGGGACTCAAAAGGATTATTTAGACCAGTAGTCTCATAGTTAGTCAAACTGTCAACATGATCCTCCAGTGCAGAAACCTCTTTCCCCATTCCTCTGCCCTGAGAGAAGATTTGGAACCAGAGAGATAGGAATTTAGCTATTGTGCCGAGAGCCACAATTATGGTCCCTCCTTGGGTAAAGTCATCTGAAAAATTCAGTTCAAGGTTCAGGAGCAGATCATGGAGGTGACAGGAGCCAT